GAAAAAGTGCCTCGAAGGTAGGCAACCGCCACTCAACCACACACATCTGCCATGCGGTACTGCCTACCCGGGAAACGGCAGGCGTTCTTTGGTTACGCTGCGCTAAAACTTGCCTCAAGGAGGAAAACAAGAAAGAAAACATGTTATTTTGTTCAGAGTATGCCACACAAAACGTGTCGACACATCCAAGCTGACCCCCCCCCCCCCACCCTAAAAAAGCTCTTACACCACTGCTGCCTGGACTGCTACTGCTGCTGCGCCGCTGCGCTATAGGACGCTCAGCAGCGGGGCGATCGGAAGACCTCCCAGAGAACTCTCTCTCTTCCGTTCTTCAAACAACCCATCACCCTGTTTCAGTAGATTAAGACAGCGTTTCCGGGTGTTTTCAGGGACCTGAGCTCTCCGATCGCCCTCCGGGCAGGCCGCCAATTTCACGCAGCTGATTGGCGGGTTTGCCTACCTGCGTGTCGCAGGCGCGCCGCTTGCCGTTACCATTAGCCTTGCTAGCCCCAGGACCCACCTCATGCTAGATTTAGAGTCAGATTCTATAGCCAATGGTTTTGGGCATGGCGGCCAATCAGGGCAGCAGTAAATAGCACTAAACAATCCAATCGCCGGCTAACAGAGGAGGAAGACCAGTGAGTAGAACATTAAGGCTTCTGGCTCATGATTGGTCGGGCCTAAACTCCACTACCGGCGTGAAGTATAGAGGCGGGAAGTCCTCGACCAATCGGGTACGTTTATGTTCTACCCCCTATTCTTCTTCCCCCGATAGCCGAAATACACTTTTAAGACGCGCGGCTCTCGGCGAGTCGGACGAGTGAACTGAAGAGAACAACCCCACCCCCACCGCACTACAAAGCTCCACGAAACATGGCGCTTCTGTTCTATCCAATACTCTATTCTTGCTTGTCATCAAATTAGAATGCACCAAAGCTAGCGGTTCAGAAGGAGTGTAAACGGCAACTGACATTTTCACCTGTGGATGTAAACAAACAAACCTAACCTCGAAGCTCCGGACATAATACACTGTCAAATGCCTTTCGTGACGGTCTTAACCTACCCGAAAATCGGTGGAAGGCTACTAGACTACTGGAAGGTCTAGAAAAGGGGCACAATTTCGTGACGAGATGAGATTTTCACTGGATAGTCCTAACCTGCCCGCCGTCAGCAGGAGGCGTGGGGCGTGGGGCTGGGCTGCGGGCTTGAGGTAAGGGGGCAGTCTTTCCTTTCACGATTATCATTGTTGACGCTTGGGAATCAAACGGCCTTAAACTACTGTGGGAGGGTGCACTATAACTTGGCAGGGCACTTACCTATTGCTTTGATAAGTTACACGGGGCAGCACACGATCCGAAGCGATGCTGCCTGTCGTGGAGGTACTGAAAAGGGGAGGGGGGAGGGGGCTAGCGTTCACTGGTCGGGTGGCTCGGGGACGAAGGTTTTGAGGGTGTTGGGAATAAGTAATTTCGGGGAGAAACGACGAAAAGAATCGCGGCCTGATGGCATGAAAATTTATCTCAACCTCTAAAAGACTGCAGTGGGCGGGTTACTATCTTTTATTTTTATTTTTTGTGAGAGACCTCGACTTCTCCATACGAACTTATTTCAACCCTTCTTGGTGAACCGAAAACGCTAATAAAGTTATCTTTTTCGTTCAGTTATGGGCTGGGCGGGCACTGCCAGGAAAAATGGTAATAAAAAATGTTCGCCATGAGCAATGAAATATCAAACCAATTTCAAAACGATACCAGAAATCAGAAATGCGACAATATTTTTGTCAATCGAATGCAAAAACCGACAGTTGACGAGAGCCTGATACCGTTCCGATATCGATCTCATATTCCAGTGCTCTCTTGGAAGAATGCAGAAATTAGTTAATTACATGGGTACCTGAGAAGAGGACTTTATGTAATCTAAAGACACAGGGGAAGACGGGGAAGACCCCCCCCCCTCTGTCTCTCTGTTTTTCTACCCCCCCCCCCCCCCTCCACCCTCCCACTTCTCTCTCTGCGGCTCTTCCCTTGGACTTGGCTTTAGGCCGGGGCCCACAGCAGCCTGGCGCAGCCGGCCCTCGCCCAGTCTCGACTGCGATGCTCTCGGGTCCCGATGCGCGGGCGGCTGCCGCGGATGGTGCTGTTGGTGCTTCTCGAGTGCCTGTCGTGGTGGTGCTTTGTCCTGCCCGGTGCCTTCGTTGAGCTAGACAGCGACGCACACGCCCGCGCGGTGTGCGGCGCCGGGCCGCGGAGGCTGTGGGTGGCTGAACCGGCGTAGACGGTCCAAGGTGCGGGGGCAGGGTGAGTTTCGAGGACAGACCGGCGGCGTCATCGTTGACCTCCGACAACCGATAGAACAACGTCTTCTTCTGTTATGGGAGGGGAGGAAAGGGGTTCCGACTGGTTAGGGGCGGCGCGGCCCCTAGAGTCTAGAGGCCACTTAGAGTCCACTCTAACCCGAACCGCGGCCGCCGCACTGCGGGCCAGCCTCTTCTGTCAGTGGAGCACCTGGACGCTGGCCAAGTAGTGTCTGCCCTCTCCGTCACTGGGCCGCGCTGAGCCGCACCCCTCTCCGCGTTTAATTAAAAACATCCGGTTATACCCGGCTTGGTACAGGGTGGGCGTGGCAAACGTACATAAGCAGACCTGGCTCGGGTCCTACCCACAGCAGCTTGGCCCGCGTCGGGCGACCTTGACCAATGTCACGTGAAATGGACGTCCCGCTATAGGCGGTCATCATTTTCCATCATCAATAAGAGTTTTCGCCTTTATCTCCGGCAGATGGCGCTGGTGCAGGTGGAGCCGCTCTGCCGGCTCGGGCTGCAGGCACTGGCGGGCCCGCTGTTGGCCGCGGTCGACGCCGTGCTCGCTGACGAGGAGACGCCCCTAGAGACGGACGGCGGGCAGGCGGTGCTAGAGGTGCGTCGCTACCTTGAGGCGGCCCCGGGGGACGTGCTCGAGGCCCTGTTGCAGGCCGTGCTGGCGCGCTCCGACGTGCCGGGGGCGGCCCGCTGCGCCGCGCTGCGCCTGCTGCTGCGCGCCGACGTGCGCTCGCTGGGCGTGGGCGTGCTAGCCGCCGAGCACCACGCGCGCGCCGTCCGCTGCCTCCGCGTCCAGGGCGCCGGCCTGCGCGCGCTCGACCTCAAGGGCGCGTGGCTGCGCGGCGCCGACCTGGATGCCTTCTGCGACGCGTTGCGTGAGCTGGGCGCCCTGCGCGTCCTCGGCGTGCCGCACGCGGCCACGGACAAGCTGCTCGAGGCCGTGGCCACGCACTGCCCCAAGATCACTGCTCTTGACGTGTCCGGCGAGACGGACGTGTCCAGGAAGGGGCTCGAGGCACTGTGCGCGGGCCCCGGCGCACCAAAGGCTTTGCAGGTTCTAGACGTTGGGAACCTGGCCGAGGCTAGCGTGTCGGCCGAGGACGCTGCGTTCCTGCTCCGCTCGCTGCCCAACCTACGATCTCTGGGGTCGTACGCGCGGGTCGGCGCTGCCCTGCTGTCACTGCAGGACGCCGAGGACACCAAGAAGCCTCTGGAATCGAGGCCGACCAGCGCTCCTCTGCGCCTCGAGTACCTCCGCGACATCGGAACGTCGCAGCGCGCCGCCGAGGCCATCCTGGCGCTGTGCCCGTCGCTGCGCGCCGTGTACCTGGACGCCCCTGCGCCCGGCGTGCTGACCTCACTGTCGGCCCTGCCGCTTCTGTCCGACCTCAAGCTCCACCAGTTCGACGTGCCCGAGCTGGAACGGCTGCTGTCGGACGCTGGCGTGCGCGTCACCGAGCTGGAGCTGCTGTTCGGGCGGTCAGGGCCGCTGGACCTCGCGCGCCTCGCCTCGCTGTGCCCCGCGCTTTCGCGCCTGGAGTGCTACTTCGTGGACTGCTCCTCGAGCGGGCGCGCGGCCTGGCCCGCCCTGCAGTCCGTAGGGGTGTTCCACGCGCAGCTGGCGCGCCATGCCCTGCTGGACCTCGCGCTGGGCGCGCCGCGGCTGCAGCGGCTGGGGGTGGGCTGCGCGCTGCCGGACCTCAGCGACATGGACGTGGCAGACCTGTGCGGCGACGAGCTGCAGGAGGTGTGGCTCGCCCAGGCGGGCCGCCTCAGCCAGGCCGCTGCACTGTGCTTCCTCACGGGCTGCCCGCGGCTCACCAGCCTAGGCGAGCTCAGCGGTTGGGACGTGACCCCCGACCAGGTCGAGGAGCTCCGCCGCCACTGCGAGCTCTCCAACTTGGACGTCAGTCTCTGGTACTTCCCCCGCAGTGACGGCGCGCTGGCGCTGTTGGAACAGTAAAGCAGCGGGATTCGAGGTGCGGTGCGGATGGCTTTGACTGTGATGGTAACTTTGTACAAATGTATTCAGACTGGTATAAGTAATATTGTTTAGAGTTGTCGCTGGTTAAACGTCTATCTAGTCTTGATGAGAACTTTCGGACCCTGCCTATGCTTTGCTGTATTTTCACACGATAGTTACAAGTATACAACAATTGTTGAAATAAAAATTGTGAGAGCAATTTGTTTCACATGATTGTGCTGTTCGGTATACAGGAAGGAGAATGGCGGGCAGAACACAATTATTCCTGATTAGTCTACCCGTGGCTGGGCCGGGTCATACCAAGAGTGGAAACGACTATTATTGTTACAATTTCACAGTGGAAATTCTTTGTAAAATTATGAAATACTTGATGTTTGTTTTTACTCTATGAAAGTCATTGGAAAGATCCAAATCGTTCAACTCAGAATTGCAAATTGTGTATGTTTGTCTCTGCTTATGAATTTCAACTGTAAAATGGAAGAAATTAATGATATTTACTTCTGTTAGTGTGCCAGGTCAGGCCAACGACCCAAACAGTATGCGGGTTTGCCTACTCGCCCCACCCGTATGGCACCATAGCCCCTAGGGTAGGCAAAGCCGCATACGGTTGAGTCGTGGCCCTGAAACACGGTACATTTGGTGCAATGTATGAGCGGTCAGGAGGTAACATAACCAGGCAAGAGTAAATAAAATAATTTTTAAGTAACCATAGACACTACCCCCTGTTCACTATTGTCTGTTAAAATAAACCTGCTTTTTAAAAATACCAGGTCTAGCTTCCTGCAACCTCAGATGGCTATGGTTTGGCCCACGGGTACTCGGGGTGATCCTTGACTCTGCAAAATACAGAAACAGAAGATTATAGAGAACAGCATCCACTTAAGCGCGGGACCAGGCGTGGCGAGCGGCAGACGCACCCAACTATCAGCAGCATGTCTATGATGCGGCCCTCCTCCCCGCGGTCCAGCGCGTCCAGGGTGTCCATCTCCGCCTCGCTCAGCTCGAAGTCGTAAATCTGCCGCAGAAGATACAAAATGAGGCAGCTGGCAGAGCGTTGCCCTAGTGCTCACTAGACTATACCGCCTGGCAGCCTACGTCGATGTTTTGTCGCAGGCGCTCCGGGTTGGTGCTTTTCGGCACGGCAACCAGCCCCTTCTGGATGAGGTGCCGCAGGAGCACCTGGGCCGGCTGCTTAGAGTACTTGTCGGCCAGCTCGCGCACCTCCGGTAAGCCCAACAGATCAGGCAGCTGCAACCTGAGCGCAGCCAGTCAACCAACACACTCAGCACGCCCTCCCCATCCTTCCTCGAGAAAAAGAGTTAGTAAATTTTGATAGGATACAACGCTGTCCGTACCCGTCAGCAGTGTTGAGCCACTTAGAGCCGGGGCTGCCGAGGGGCGAGTAGGCCGTGACGGTGACCCCTCGTTCGAGGCAGAACGCCACCAGATCGGGCTGCTGCAGGTAGAGGTGCAACTCGATCTGATGGTTGGCTGGCTTGATGGTGCAGTTGTCGAGCACCCGCGTCAGCTGGCGTTCGTTGAAGTTAGACACCCCTATGTGGCGGGTGCGGCCCGCGTCGACCTCCGCCTCCAGCGCCTATCAAGAGACCGGCGATCAGCATAGCGACTGCGGCCGACGGCCGCGCACCACCTCAACGGCCCCGCACGGCATGGCACCTACTCCCACGCACCTTCCAGATGGCCACGTGGTCCGTTTCCATGTCCAGAGCGCCGGTGCCCACCTCACCGGCGACGATCTCGTCCAGGTTCTGCATACCGTGCCGGAGCATGCCGAACGGCACGTGGATGAGGTACAGGTCCACGTAGTCCAGCTGCAGGTTCGACAGTGAGGCGCCCAGGAACTCGGGCACGTCCTCGGGCCGCATCCCCATCATGGGCAGCTGCGGCAGCGCAAGTAGTGCGTCAGGGGTGGACAGCTCTCTCTCTCGCGCGCGCCAGGCGGGCCTGCCTGGCTCCAGCCAGACAGCTGCTGCAGTGCACCAGGGGCGGGTAGGCA